CTCAGATGATACAGAGGTCGCTGCTGCAGGATGTGCAAGGGTCGGTACAATCATCATCACCATGAGAACCACGTACCTTCCGTACAGAGGTTGTGGCTGCCAAAGTTTCATTCACCGATGGTATGGAAAGATTGGGTAGATAGCTGCACATTGGAAGCGGTAGCTGATATAATTGATTTGTAGATACAAGCTCTCAGTGAACCTTTAATTTATGAGATTGAGAGCGGAACTATGCAACGAAGGCAATGCATTAGGACAATGCTCCGAAGACCGATGGTCAAATACTGAAAGGCTTTCACTGTACTCGGCGCGCAGCGGCCAGGTTTCCCACCTGTATGGAACGCACTGCAGTATTGTAAACTCGACCCTTGACGGATAAGCTGATGTCACATCTATGCAGGTTCGCTCTGGCCTTCTCAATTTGAATGGAAATATAACCTTTCGTGAGACCACCGGAACTGATACAGCCGTCGAGGTGGGCAAGTTAGTCTACTACCTCGACTGGCTCCTCCGCAAGCAGGAGATTAGAGTTCCAGCTCAGCCAGTCTTGCGGCAGCACTTTTTACATCGCGGTTGTGTAACGCATGTCCAACAGGCAGAATTACTTAGATTATTTAATATTGTTTGTATTACTACGAAGAACAGCTATGTCGTCTGCGCGGTCGATATCTGAGAGCGAACACCCAGGGAGCAGTTCGATCCCACACGCAAGAGACTGGCAGTGAGTATTCCATAATCACATCAGTGATGAAACTGAAGAGGAAAGGTGAGAGAAGACCACCACTTGATTAACTCCGGTGAAATCTTCCCGTGGACCGTTGTGCGTTCGCGGGCGTTGTGGTACAGCGTCAAGAATTTATGAGGACACCTTTGCCTGACGGTCCACAAAGTCAGAGGCAGCTTTAAGGTCAAGGAGTATACTGTTTGTTGCTGGAAAAGCCTCTTACATCTCTAGAGCTTTCAATGTCCACCAAAGCTCTCGGTCTTTCCTCGGGTTCTTCACTATTTCGCGTCTCAGGGATTTCGAGCTTTGCCTCTGATACTAGCGATCTGTACGACATCCAGTGTTTTTGTGGTCGAATCGGAGAAGTTGGACAGACAATAGTGAACACCGCTGGTATAGTTCTTTTCACATTCTGCCGTGCTTCATCCACGAGCTCACTACCACTATAGTATTGGTAGAGTTTTTGAGTTAGCTCGGATCGATACTGTTGAGCTATGATACTTTGAAAATGGCGGAATCGCATAATTGTTGATTTGCAAAGTCCTGAAGGGAAACAAACTGTCAGGCGTGTACGCACCGTAGAATGATTGAAACCAAGTTATGTGCCGCAAAAGGTACGACAGCCTTGAACTGTAGCTCTCCACCGGTGGGTGATGGCTACGTGATCCAACTGGGTCCACGGTTAATTTGCAGTTGGTGGCTGCCAGCTTACGCGGTGCTAACTTTTATGCCGAAAGGTCATATTGACCAGAAGCAATAGATGATCAGTACACAGACAGATGAGTCGTACTCCGTTGTCTGTTGTCGTCTCCGAATCGACCGCCCAGATGTGATTTCAAGGGGCTCAAATGACCGACTTGGGCCTTCATATTACTCACAAGAATCGCGAAATCAGTGCTTGTTGCCTGACGAATAAGCCATATATTCTACGAGTCGTCGCTTCGGGATCACCGGACACACGAAGGGAGAAATGTGAACGAGTTGACTTTGTCCTTGGCGTTCTGAGATGCACAACTACGCTTTGGTCTTGTATACGTGTTTATTGTTAACAGGCAGCGGGGAGCATAAGGCGAAATCAAATGGCCCGGTAACGTTTGCTTGTGTGGCGTGAAGGCATTAGGGAGGGACATCGGTGGACACAGAACCCTGTCCCGGTTGCCCAGGCCGAGGAAGGGGATTTATTTGATGTACCCCACTTTTAGCGTCTGAGTCAAAAGTCCGACCGGCGAGTCAGTGCACAGTAGGGGTTTGATTAAGAGCCCTTCCCGGAGCCGATGACTATGGTCTGACCTGCTCGGCTGCAGGTGATTGGCCTAACCCGAGAACACAGGGATTAAGACACTACTGTCTAACCCCTGATGCAGGTGCGTGCAGCAGGTTCCTTCTGAGTAGCACCGGACTTCGGTTTTAATACACCGGCGGTCACGGTGAATCGTTTGGCGATCGAAGTGTGCGATCTTCAGGGCCGACCTTTCTAACCCGTCTCTCCTCGGGGGAAGGCAGCGTTTCTCCTTCTGTGAATAAGAACATGCTGATCGCTTGGGGGAAACACCTTGCTGCCTTCACATTCCTATCGCAGACAACCGTGCGAACTTACCTCCAGACTGTCTCGTAATACGACTACTCGCAGTAAGGGGGATTGTTATTGGTGAGGTTGTTCTCCGTTGGCTGTCGTGGCATGTTTACACCTTTTGGAACGAAGGTACAGCCACTATAGCCAATAGGATCATTGCTACAGTCAAGCTCGACCACCACGTCAAGGTGGCAGCTTTAGGTCGGTTTGGCATCGCCCTAAGTCACCGACCAGAAGGAGCCTTACTTGATTGTATACCCGTTTATAGTTGCCTCGTTGCGGTTCGTGTGGCAATGCCTGTGAAGGAGTCTCACAAGCAGGAAGTTGTCTGTTTGTTTTATCTGCTTACGTTCCAGCCGACTGTAGCTCTGACACAAACAGTGCGCAGATATCATTGTGTTTGCCGGAGATCTGAACGCACAGGTGTATAGGCTTGGTATATTTGAGACCGGATTAGGTGGTCGATATTGGTTGAACTTGGTACTTATGGACATTGGTGAGTGATTGCTTTAGCCATGTAGTAACCACAGGCTTTTTTATGTAGTACTGGCTTCCGAAATAGCCGAATTCTTATGGCCACATTATGTATTCCAATGACATTTGGGTTACGAACTCAAATTGATCATATCCCCATCAGTTACCGATGTCGCGGATTAATAACTGACTGCCGCTCTTTCCGGAACATATTCGTGGATTCCAACCACGGAGTCGGTGGGAGTCGCTTCTCTCTTCGTTTCCCAGGGTCGCATAAGGTGCGGACAAATAGCTTAGTAACCAAGAGATGTTGCATGAATGTTAGACGAATTTACTAGAACAGTCTTCTAGTGTCTCTTCCAACTGCTCCACCATCAGGTGTGAATTAATACTGGGATGAAATTGTCCCTCTTTGTACAGTGGCTGTCGCACGGCGCAGTTTTTTTTTCAGTTTTGCCTATGGTACGGCGCTATCAGACCCGCTCAAGCACTGGATATTGTTGTGTTCGTCAGTGGATTGAGTGCGGCGACAATCAGGATGAGAACGGGAAGGCCTGAGTGCAAAGCCCATCCCAAAGGATGGAAGGATTAGTAAATCCATCTAAAAACACCCACACCTTTTGCTCCTCCATGACGAGAACGATGTCGTCTACATATTACAGATAGGGGTTTCATTAAATGTGCAAAATTAAAGCTAAAACGCTCGACTTTGAATAATTTTTAGGAACAAAATTGGGCATGTTTTTTCAGTAGCTTCTGGTGCCCGGCATCTAAAGCAAGTTTGCTGGGTTCTGTATAGGCCAAACCGCACCAGTAATTTGGAAGTAGCTATAGCGAAAGCAGTGGCAGAAAGCCCATATATAGGTATATGATCCTTAAGCCACCAGAATGGGTAGGTACACTGGTAGGAGATTTTCACTCTGACCGGCCGAATGCCATCCTCAATCATAATAAGAGGTGTTCCTTCTATCGAGGAACAGAAAGCGACATAAGTAAGAACGAGAAGCGTAAAATATGGCGATTGAGTCCGGGGGATTCTGACATATAGGCTGTCGTATTAATTGCGAAAAAAAAGAAGTGTAAACCACTGATTACTGTGCACAGACGGAACTCAATGCATCAAAATGCATTACAACACAAAATATCATATTCACAACAACGGAATTAGAAAAGTTTCGACAGAGGTCGTAGCTGACGATTTGTGGGGATGCTTAATTGTGTGTAAACCACCGGAAAAACAATTCTTTAATTTTCCATTAACCAGTTGTCTACGCACAAGCTGCCAGCATCCACAGTCAAGTTAGTGAGTTAGATCATAGTCAGGATAGTAAACCACACAGGCGGACCGAAAACACAGCAACGCTTCTGTGGAAGCAGAAAACGGATGAAACCACCGTAGAAATTCCGCAGCCTCCTAAGTTCTCAGTAGCACCAGTATTCGAGTAAGATTGTTCCCTGTGCCCATTAAATCCTCCCGGAGGCCCCACAACACGTGTACATCCCCTGTGGAGATCCGATTCAATCGTTTCTTGGCAGAGATGTCTCTGCGTCGCGGAGAGGATGGACCTTACAGCGGTACGACGGTTTGTGCATGTGAAAAACTCATTGGGCTATACTGCGGAGTGTATGTATGACATTCACAGAGTCCTCCATACGGGGCTGGTTAATGGGCAGAGGTTTGGCTAACGCAGTTTTCTGGTCCTTCTACTCTAGAACCGTTGTTTAGTGCGGTTTCACTCAAATGGCTCCAGTCTTTTGTTGTTTCCCAGACGATTATAAGTCCCAAAACGTGTGTTCTGATCGGTTTACTCTTCGAAGCCTTATAAGGATTAGCCGCCCGCCTATGACTGTTACTTTTATCGGCAAGTATATTTGCGATACGAGTTTCAGTGGATAAGAACTTTACGGCCCTTTTAAATCGGAAGTCACCGCTTTTAAGCAATACTTCGTAAATGACTTACAACAGTGATTGCGATTAGACCCTGGGGCAAACACGTGCGCTAAATGCATGTGAATTACCTGCACTTTCAGAATTTCCTATCAAGGGCGCACCGTGCGCTGGATCTCCGAAACACGGCACGAATGGCCTTCATAATAATTCTCTATCAAGTGTCGTGTCTAATTTCGTATTTAAAAATTCGGATGGTGGAATGTATATCTGAATTGTTTCATCCTACCACCGGTGTTCTCTTCACCATTATTTAACTTTATTTCGTTCCCGTTTTCAGGTTGCGACTTATCGCTTATCCCGGTAACAGTCGCTTTCCCTTTTGCAATTACACCCCACCCACGATGAGCGGAGATGAAGTAGGCATCCTAACCGTTCAAATCGCACGTTTGATTTAGGAAGATGAAAAGAAACTTGCAGCTAAAGAACGTCAGAAGGAGATGCGTGCCGGTATTCTCGCTCAAATACTTGATCAGAACGCGCGCGCTCGACGTATGTTACCAGTTTCGGCCTTAACCGATTGACTTTAGTGAATACTCTTGCTATAACGAAGCCAGAAAAAGCCCAGATGGTGGAGAATATGTTGATCAACATGGCTCAGACTGGGCGCATTGGTTCGAAAGTGAGTGATTTCTCCCGTTCCGTGACCTGATAGTCCATGAGTAGTTCTGAAACCACTTCATATTCTCCTCATCTGATGCCCCTCATAAGGTCGATGAAGATTTTCGACAACCTACTGTCGGTTTCGACCTTTTTGGGGATCATCAGGTGGGCCTGGTTCCCTAAGTTTCATTCATCTTATTCCGTTCTTGAACACCAAACTGAATTTGTAGCAATAAACACTCGTTTGCAACTAGCCCACTGTTAATGGGAGATGGGGCGAGATGGACCGAGTGGTTAGAGCGTGAATTTACTGACCGGAAGGTCCGTGTTTCGAACCCGACATCTGTCTCTCGACTTGGGCAACCTGACAGTATCTCAGCCGTCGTGCCTCCGTGTGGCATGGCAGCTAGGCACCGAAAGGCTGCTACAGCTGAACGACTCAATGAGAGACCAAGTAAACCTAACGTACGTGTCGATAAAAGGAACTTGTAGCTCTTCGAAACATTAAATAATGAGCATTGATGCCGAATTGCACCGCATTATTGGAGACTAATTTTCTGTCCGTCATTAAGTCTTGCGTGAAATCCAAACTTACGGGGAGTGTTGAAAGACTTGGGAGTTTACCGGTACTGTTTGGCCAACGGACATTCCGCCTCCCAAGCGGGCGAATGCAAACCTGATTTCTTAATTGATTGAAGCAACCAACGATTGATAATGAGCGTACATCGCGCGACACAACGCGGACGATCCTTTTTTATTCGACCATCTGTCCCTACTATCGGTCTCACCGTAGGTCAACAGGTAAGCTCAGTTTCCCTTGTCAACTTATGGCCTACACACGAACTTTCATCAACATGCACGTCATGTAAATTTCACAATCAGAGTCTTCAGCCATCAAACAAATGTAGACGGTAAATGGATAAGCACGGTCCGGATTCACCAGTTGGTAGTGGAATCCCGGTTTCGAATATTTCCCTAGCATACCATATAGTTAATCTGAATTTATTTGACGCGTGAGATTCGTGACGTTGCGGCGGCAAGTTGTTAGGTGGTATTTCGCGCCGCCTTATCGCTCGCACTTAGGTGCTGCAGTGGCCAAGAAGCCTATCCTGCACGCGGTTGGCCAAAGGATTGGGCCGTTGGCCAGTCCCGCATCAAGGCGAGCTTTGTTTGGACCCAACAGCCAATCGTGATCCTGTATCTTCCGGATACCAGTTGCCAATGCCGCGTCTAGGAGGCGTCAAAATTTCCAGAGTATTGTCGCTGCATACAGTTTATAAGCGACGCACTGTACACCTGGCTTTTAGGCCTTAATGCATGTTGTGCACCTTTCTTGGTTGTTCTGACAGAAGCACCATTCCGAAAGTTCAGACCGAGAATTAAGCTGAGAAAATACCGTTATTACAAAATGAAAAGCCAAATTCGTGTGCACTGTTGGGATGCCGAAAGTTCGACCGAGAATTAAGCTGAGAAAATACCGTTATTACAAAATGAAAAGCCAAATTCGTGTGCACTGTTGGGATGAATCTTGAGACAGTTCAGAAATTGCTGAGTAAACATTGCCTAGTCAGCTGATTTTTATTTTTGTATTCTTTAAAAGTGCATTTTGGGAGTCCGTATTTTCGGTTTATGACGGCTGTCTCTTCTGCAGTTCTGCAGTTATGACCGTGCAGCTGCGCACATCAACATATGAGATTAATTGCTCGTCTCCATGGTGCAAGCTTGAATTTGTTTGTTTCTTTCGTATAGAGTGAATACTACACATACGTCACGTAGTTTTGATGCATTTTAACCAAATTAATATGAATGGACACACTGAACTTGTGTTTCCGGCCATGATAGGCGGGACTATGAAATGTTGAGGGGTTTCCAAAACTTTTTGAGTAGTAATACATGTGGACAGTATAATGTGGTATCTCGAGCATCCTGCTAACTGAAACACGGGGCGGTCTTTGTGAACCATATTCAGTTACGGAATATTGTTAACGAGGAATTCAGCTAAGATTCAGTTGTAACCAAATTGGTTTTCAAATGAGTGCATTTGGCAAATTGCGTCCAATTTGGATTCGACCAAAACACAAGGTTGACAAACACTGCGGTTTCGCGTACCGGATGAGCCCCAGGAAGGACTAAGCCGGTTGTGAACCGTAGAATAGCTTTCAGTAGCCTAATGGACAGTATGCTGTGTCTCAGGCATGTGCTTAAAACAAACCACAACAGTTAGCCGAATTGGCAAATACTCCTGTGGAATAGTCATGTATCCCTACTGACTTACCGCGAATAACTGAAATCTTGGTTGTTCCACTGCTCTCCGGGTTGTCGTGCGCATTGCCAGTGAAGCCCGATAGGGACGAAAGAGCCACTGACCGGTTCTCGGTTTGCTTCGCAGGGCAATTTCTCAAGACAAATCGGGTAGCACATAAAATGACGCGCTTCGTTCCTTCCATCCCTATGTTACTGTGTTCTGGTTAGGTCCGCTATGGTTACCGACTTACCCCACAAATGTGGCCCTTTATTCATCTATATACCTTTCTGTATTCTTCTAAATTATGACAGCTTTCTATGCACGACTTATGGCTTACCGTCGACTGACAACCGGGAAGCGATTTCAGGCAACTGTAGGGCGTTAAAAATCTCCACGTTTTTTCATGTACACGTATTTTCATTTCATATTTAACGTCTGGTTTCTGTGTTGACGTGTTCGCTCACAGGTATTTTCGCGTTTTCTCCACTTTCAGTTATCAGAGGATCAGCTGAAGCAAATCCTCACGCAAATGTCATCAGGTGTTTCAAAGTCCACCACAGTGAAGGTAAAATGAAATTTCCGTTCACTCCTGTTACCAGTTTGACCGCCGACGTGCTGCAATCGATTCGGACGATGATTAGGCGCTCTGCGACCGCTGTTCTGGTACCTGTTCAAAGCTTGCCAACCCTCAGCGGGGTCAACTGCTTCTAGGCACTTTCAAATGCGAATTGTTCAGTATTTTGTACAGCCTCATGACCGACAAATAAAGAATGATCCGATTGCCTAATGACCACACCGCTTTACTGAATTTGCCGCGTCGGGGTCAATTAATCGGTTTTCCTACTCTTGACTCATGTTTTTGTGGTGACTTTCATTATACATCAGCATTTTAAACTACATTCATGGGATACTCTGCTATCTGTTGGTGATGTAAGGGAATTTGGGGATTTTTAACAGATGTTTCGTCCCGTAAGTGAAGCCAATCTCTGCTGAAAAGCCCATAAGTGCTCTAAGCTGCTTCATTCTTACTTGACCTAATCAGCAGTGCACATCCCACGAAACTCCAGTAAGGAGTTCCGAACCCAAAAACTCCCGGCAGTTATTTTGAACACAATCATTCGGCCACGAGGGGCTAATCAGCAGTACGATTAGGCCACAATTAGACGGGATATTATTGTACCGCATCCTGTCTAGGTGCGAGGCAATCATTCTGTTGATTGTGACTGCTCTTGGCTGGACGATTGTGTTCAAACTATCAGTAGGAAGATCACGGACTCAAGACTCCCTACCGCGCACTGATGATGATTCACAATAAGAATGAAAAAGCTGCCTGGTGCTTACTGGTTTTTCGGTATGGATTAGCCCCTCCTACAGAATGAAATCTCAATTAGTCTACCGGCTATGGTCCACTATTTTCGTTTAACCAGTGGTAGCGAATTACTCCAATTGAATTCAACCTCAGCATCTATTTGAAGCCGTCTTGTTTTGAATTCCGAGAACCAGACTTCTGAAATTAAGGGCCATACAAAGGTGCTGCTTTTGTATCAGTTATTTTGCACGCTATTGTGTACACCAAGACCTTGGTACTGGGAACACGGAGGAGAAACGCTGTTTGGGGATGAGTGATGAAGTGGGCGACACTAGGAACTAGACAACAGAAATGGACAAGAGGCCGATTTTTCTGAAAGACCTACATAATAGAATGAGAAAAAGATCGTTTTAAGCGAAGATGGCCTTTTCGACATCTCATACTGGTTGTGACAGATATAAAACGGACAGAATAGATGAAAACTACGGGTGAACGACAACATTGTTAAAATTGAGACCTTCAAGCAAACTACACAGGAGAGTAGATCCCCGTCTTCCTTCCAAAGACGGTATGGTTGGTAAAGTTGTGACTACAAAAGTTATTTGCCAGGATATTTCATGCTGCACGTTGACGCGTAATTTACACCAGCCATCCCATTATCAGGCAAAAGCAAAAAGGCAAAATATAATATCACATCACCTCGGTGTATTTCCTGGAGGCACATATATCGGCCGAACTACAAGGTAGTTGCTGACGCGAATGTTTTACCACATACAGGCCGCTTGGTAGAGGTATCACCGGTGACGTAAATGGCTCCGTTTTATTCCATTCTGGTGACACTGTTCAGATGGCACTTCTTCCCGGTATCTGCCAACAGTAATCCGAGGAATTCGCTCGAGTAAATCATCTGATGACCTCTCCCTTCTGGCGCCAAAGACCAGCGAAGCACTGGTTATGACGGACATTCCCCAGTTGGTAGCCATGGAAATGTCACTTTCAAAGTTTCCTCGGGGTCGCCAACCAGCGTCATACAAATTCCTGACCAAAGGACGTCGCAATCACCCTTTTAGCACTGCGTTCTTGGGATTCCCTACAAAGTCAGATCCAGCCACTGCATTCACTGCGTCAGAACTAAGATAACGGCGTTAACTCAGAGGATGACGACAAATCACCTAGGAAATCTGTAATAGTGAAAACAGGATGCGGTAAAGACGAGGATGAAGATGACGCTGATGAGGGCAGGAATGAGGAAGATGAAATGAAAGAGAATCCCAGCGATGAGGAGAGCCGCGACAAAAAGACAGCTCTAATCCATTCAAAAAATAGTCTGGAGTCAGGACAGAAGAGATCACAGCTTAAATTGAGAGGAAGCACGGAGCTTTCGTCCGGGACAGGCTTCAGTAGCACAGGTCGTGGTTACCCCAATCGTGGAGGTCACAATAGCGGCTTCGGGCATCATGGTGGAGGTCATCTTAGTGGTGGCCCTATTCGGTAAGTGCATCTGACAAGGTCAGGCTTAATGTAGTCGAATCTGCCTACTGTACAGAACAACTAGTTGCTCACCCACTCTCGGCTCATGTTCGGATTGGGGGAGGCGTTTGTGGCTAGAGCAGTTGTACTGTTCTCGCTGGTCTCATTCTTGCATGAAGTGGATTGAGTTGGTGTATCAGGGAAAGCCATACTGACTTTGGGGGTGGTTTTGATGCTTTCCTGTTCCTACTCTGTCCTACGTGGTTCCCCGTTTTGTTGCTTCATTTTTACGCCTTTCTCGTTTTGACCCTATTATTTTTATTATTAGCATTGTTATTTTATTATTGTATTCATAGTACCGCATTTGACTGACGATAAAACTCCGTTTGAACGGTTTGACTTTTGGGGTTCAGCGGGTATATCAACGTGGCCGCACTGATTGCTGGAAACAACCAGTACTGGGGTTGTGATTAATTTCCGTTTGGCTCTCACTGTTGTGAACCACAGTTTTCTTAATGCCTTCTTAATACCGTGAATCCGAGTCTGGATAGCCGTTGATAGCCTGATTCGCTTAGCCAAACCAGAAAGCCAAGGAACGTGCGAATCTGCTGATCTGTTGAATACTGACGCGCACAGGCTTGTCATGTGCAGCCGAAAACGGGCTGTTTATGAAGCTCACGTTGAAAGTTCCAGGCGGGTCAAAAAGTGATGCTAAAAATAGAACCCATCTGTCAAGGGCAAGTGAAGAACAACCAATTAAATCTGTCTCAGCAATGAAGGCCATTCCATTTGCAGTTGTGTAGTCCAGTTGCGCTTGGAGCTGGTTGTCGTATTACTCACAGAATCGCATATGTTTTGTCATCATGGGTTGTGAGACCCAGTCAAGCGTTGAAAATCTGAATGTTCGTTTGCGACTATTCATCGTTAAAAGATGACGTTGTGTACTTCTCACTAAGGTACACAGTTTCCCGCTCACATCCGCGTTGCTTACTTTAGTCCATGAACGGTGTCAAAGAGCCCATTTAGGCTCTATGCAGGCCTTTTCCCCAAGTCCCACATGGTTTCCCGGGGTTTATCCATTTTATTTGTGAAGGTTCGTCAACGTCGTTGAGTACGGCAATCCTGTATTGAAATAGCGGTTCCTACGTGCTGTTCACGAATGAGTTGAAGTAGGATTAGATCGTGACCTTTCTGTCTGTTTCATCCAATTGATGTTTGTCTATCACAAATACGGATCCGCATCAAAATAATCACCTTACTTTGGGTGGATGCGTTTGGCGCTCAAATGCGACTTGAAGAAACTTTTTTTTAATTTACCTAGTGCTTACTACTTAGCTAGGGGCGGCTCCCAGCATCTCCGACTCGTGATCCCTCACACAGCTTGCGGTTCAACATTGGTTTTCCTTGTATATTACTCAGAGAAATTGGCTATGAAATCGTTCACCAAAATTTCCGATCGATCAAACCTATGTGGTCTACTTGACACTTGTTGCAACATCTGATTTCTCTGTTCATCGAAATAACGGCTATTCATGTGTTGTTTTCTACTGGATTTCAACGAACTGTTTTATTACGCAAATCGAAAGCCTAACTCACCAATCGATTCTAATCAGTTTCAGAATTCCAATTGTGTGTACCATGAACGTCGTCAATGTCGAATTTGATGCAGGTACAGTTCTCTGGTGAACCTATGGAGTGACCTTAAAGTGGTTTGCACTCTTCCAACACACCATCGCCCTCCAAATGCTCTGTGCGTACCAAATCAAAATTGATCGGAACCTTTAATAAATTATTGTTCTAATCGATATTCCCAAGTTGGACGGAAGCGGCAAACTTAAGGATAACAGGAAGACCTAATGGCATTTCGCATTGTGAATGCATTCATTGAAAATAGGTTTGTAAGTGACTTGACTGAACCGGTGGGGAACGATTGTACCCAATACCCCACGGGAGATTTAAAAGTAGCTATCCGTTGGTTTTTGTGCTGGAAAACGTGCGTCGAATTTCGGTGGTCCCAGCTACAGCTTCGTTCACTGGGGATAAGGAGAATGAGGGAAGAAGAAGCGCGCGTTGGAGGAGGTGGCCCCATTAGCTCGCTGATGTTAAATGGTTCTATTTGTTGAACATGATAAAAGATGGGAACTACACGGTTAAGGTAATAGCTTTGATTCAGGTTCACCATTGGGTGCGTCAGGTTCACTAGCCACTGACTTGTAATCCGGAGAGACAGCAGTTTCCAACTCGACTGCGTTGACTGGTAAGGGTTTCCATACTCCGCTGCAAAGTAATGGACTGATCACTCATGGGTCGTCTCCATCTAGTGTAAGACTGGGAAAAATATCTAGAAGGCGAACCCTCGTCTGGTACAGGACGTACATGGTCTAACCAGAGTCAATCAAGGGGGAGTGACTTTTCCGGGAAACCATTTAGCGTACTTCTGCATTATCTACCAGATCCGCGCAACGCTTCGGATGGCACCGACGGTCAACCAATCTTTGAAGTTCTTCCACACACTGTTTGCATCTTTAACCCATAAAGTAGGGCGGATGGACCCTCGGCATCGTACAATGTACGGTCAAAGTGAAGTCACTATTGTTGGCACCACAAATAGCGGAGGTTTCTAAACACTGACCCGGTTTTCTCAATTCAGGAAGCGATTTTATCTTTCTCCGGTCTGCCTGAACTCATGCAGCCGCCAAGATAAACTAACCTATCTACTTTATTGTTGGGTTTACCCGCGAACCTGTGTCTTTGGTTTGATCCCGCTATCACTTTACACTTTACGGGTTCGAACTGTGCTGCAGAATTATCTTCCTGAGTCTGAAGATATTTGGGAATATTCGATTGTGATTTCGTCGCGTGGGTGAAGCCATTCTATGCCTAACTTGGACATCTGTATTTCTAAAGGGTACGGTCGAAAAGCAACATAACGTGCGTGAGCGAACGCTACACGGGTATTTCAACCCCCGAGGTGCTAAAGGCCAGAAAAAACTCAAACAGCACGTTGAATACGAAGTTAAATGAAGAAGGTGACAGAGGACACTTGCTCGACACCACTGGATGTTTTGAACTCAGAAACGAATCTGCTGTAGAAACGTAAGCGTCCACTGGAGGAGCCTTTATTAGAGGCAGCTTGAAAGGAGAACCATTCATCTCCAGATACTCCTGACGGTCGACGGTGTCAACAGCAGAACTGAGATTCTGAAAAACGCCTACTGTTGGTCGTCGGAAGAAGTGGTACAGTTCAAACACTAGTCGCAAACCGAAGATATGGCGGCATGTAATCCTAATCAAGACGAAGTGGCCAACTTATGATGATAATAATAGTGAAATATGCTCGTCGGTCCCAAAGACACGTTTACGGTGATCTCGGGGTAGTTCAGTAGCACACACCTAATGACCAGGAGTTCCGTGGTTCAAACCTAAACCACGCATGTTGACCGCCCTGTCCAAGTTTGGGTAACCTGGTAGTCCTCACCTCTCGTGCTTCGATCGCGTGGCATGGCAGCTTGGCTCCGAAGAAGTGTTACAACTGGACGACTATTATTATTCATTACTGGTTTTCAGGCACCATGACTTGGAGGGCATAGTTCAAAGTCACATCATACTTCTATTTTCTTCCATTAGTACTTGGAGACATCATTCCGCTAGTTCCACATTACATTATTCAATTTCCACTGTTTGCCACAACATTTCATGCCCATTTCTAATGATGATTTATGGCGACCAAAGAGAACCATTAGGAATTTCTCACGTGCCAACATTTATGTAACCGATAATGTTCCACATGCTGCCTAGCAGACGCGGACTGATGCCACGTATGAGCTCCGAAAATCCAGGATGGAGTACCTGGGGAGACCATCTTGCATCCTCTTGTTATTAGTGCATTTTCTCATTTTGCCTCTGGCACTTGAGATTTGACTAGTGGAAGGGTCTGGGTAGTGCATGTTGTCTAAACATAACAAGATTTAGTCTGGTTTTCGTGTTGTCCCTGCAGTATTCTAGGTTGATTGTTGTGCACATTTCATGTTACACTTCACACTCATGTATCCCACTGGTTTTGGTCTACGTAATACCCCTCTTTATATTTATCGAACGTTGTCCATCTTGGCTGACTTCAGCTGGTAGATAGTATGCCGCCGCTGAACCACTTGTTTAGTCACACTTCGTTTCACGAGTGGGTTTCAGCGAGTGCTTTTTTCTGGGCGTAAAAGCAACAAAAATATGTATGAGTCGAACAGGAGAAACTTAACCACTCAATGATTTCAGGCATTTTAGTCCAGAGTTATAATTACTAACCTATTCGGGGTTTCAACTTCAAGGTGGCGTGCCCAAACTCCAGCGGTAACGCGAACCGTTAGCCTGCAGACGAATTTATCCATTTGTATTGTCGAAAATGTTATTGCACCTCAGTAACTGATGCTTCCAGACCAGACACGTGATCGGGAAATTCAGATATCAATTCCAGTGTACGAAATCAAAAGGGATCATCCAATTCCATCACCATAGCAACAGAACGAGTGTTTAATCGATGTATCGCTTTCGGTTTCAGGTGATGTGGTGTTCATCTGTAGACAAGATAGGTGTTTTGCTAGGTCTACGCGTTTCTAGGATTTATGGCGCGGACTTATTTGCATTGAACTTTCCGAACCACGTACATACAAACTCCC